CAGTTGGACAGGTGTACCTAATAAAGTGGCCGGTGAGTGTATCTTCTCTCTTTCATATTTATGGCATTCTAATATAACATGCTGTATGGTTTCATATTTATCACAATTTTCACATTTGCCAGTTTTATGTTTTTGAATTTTAAAAAGTGTATAATTAAGTCCTGTTTGTCCAAATCTTAACCTTCTTATCACTCTTTTCTCCTTTCTATTTCTTCTTTTTCCTACATTCTTCTGAATTTTATAAAACCATCTTCCTGTTTTATCTTCATCCCACCTTTTTTGCCATACTTTCATCAGTTTCTCTTTAACAATACTGTTTCCTTCAGATTTTCTCATTTTAAGTGTAAAACTAATAGGATACTGAACTGCCCTCTMTGCCATTTTATCTGCCCTCTCATTTCCCTCTACTCCAATATGTGCTGGAACCCACACAAATATAACTATCAAACCCATGTTTTGTATTCTGAATAATGAATGATATATTTCTAATAAAATGTCCATCCTACTAGAGCTTGAATCTGAACATATTATCGTTTTTAATGGTTTTATGTCCTCTACCCATTGCAAAGCTAATAATATTGCCAACATTTCTCCTGTGTATACTGATAACCCATCTGTTATTCGTTTTCCTATTTCATATTGAATTCTGGCACGTAGTCCCACCTCTCGAACGTGTTTGGCTTTCATCACCGCCCACCAACAGATTCGAGTCGCTCATTGGTTGAGTTAAATGTCATTTTAGCTGCTTTGAGGCCACTTAAATCCTTGGCTTAAACCTGCAAAGCAAAACACACCGTAACACACCGTCGTTTTGAATTTGTTTATTTTATTATTTGTACGTATTTTATAAATTCTTACAGACAGTAARTGCTGTTGTCTATCAATAAACAATTTTGAAATTTCATCTTTATTTTTTTGTTTGATTTTTGGTTTGGATGTCATGCCTTTATTTTGAAAATTCTTCCAGACTTCCGCTGCCATCGTCCCACGTGACCTTTATGTCCTTGATCAGCTAACTTTGGCGAGTGAGTTGCAAAAAAAAAAAAAAAAAAACATTATGTGTGTCACTAAAAATCCCAACAGCAAAGTGTTGGAGGCTTTGCAGAACCTGCCGAGAGTATGTTTATCAAACTTGCGTCCGGAACCAGGATCCACAAAGTGTGTAAGTTTGAGCTCGTCTCGTTCATTGGTCTATATTAGCATTCATGCTAACATGGCTAGTCGAATAAAATCAATGTGTGATGTTTCTGTATTGCAGGAGAAACGGAGGGGCAGAGGCCAGCACGGCGGCAACTCCAGCGGCCGAGGTACAAAAGGACAGGGGCAGAAGGGGACCAGACCCCGGCTTGGCTTCGAAGGGGGGCAGACTCCCTTTTATTTGGTCATTCCAAAATACGGCTTCAATGCAGGACACAGGTATAAACTCCTCGCAGTCTTCTTCATCTGTCAAACTAGCCTATAGAACCAGGGTTTCAAAGTTGCAGTCATGCTGATTATTTTGCAAAGAAATCCATTATTGTACACAAAGATCCTTTTATTGAGTTTCTGCTTAAAATTCAACTATCAAATGAGTTTACAAGCAGCAGAACTAAGTACACTGTATAATTAGTGCAATATTATTGTTGAAGTTCTGTATTTCTGTTGTATTTAAACATATCAGTGACAGAACATGTATTAATGTCGTAATTACCTATATCTTTATTTTTCCTTTCCAGTCGGCGTCCCCAGTACCACCCTCTGACTCTGAAACGGCTTCAGTATCTGATCGATTTGGGCCGAGTGGACACAAKCCAGCCCATAGACCTGACCCAGCTTGTCAATGCCAGAGGAGTGACAATCCAGCCTTTGAAGAGGGACTATGGAATCCAGCTGGTTGATGAGGTAATCTCTAGTTCACTCAGTATTAGAGMGGGAGTCTTTTACCATCTCATGATTCGATTTGTTCTGATTTTTGTGGCCCGGTTAGATAAAAAAAAAATTTTTTTTGATTAAAAAATGGTTGGACACATGATTTCTGCTTCTATCTTAAGGTGTTCAAAGTATCCTTATGATCGGGTTGTGGACGGGGCCAGTTACTTTTTTTTTTTTTCATCCATTTTAGTAGTTTCCTCTTTGTAATTAGTTCTAAATAGCATCATTTTTTTTTTGATCAAGAGCAGAAAATTAATTTTGAATTGGTACAAATAAAATGTGTCATGCTTATGTTTTCTGTGATGCCAGCAGTGGAGCAAAATGAGAGTTTGTTTGTGTCTTGCTGTGAGGAAAAACAACAGATAAACACTAAAACTTTCTAAAAGGTGAAGTCATTTTTGTTGAAAATGTGAGAGAAATTATTTTGTGAGCTTTTGCTGAAAAAAATAACAAATTGCAGGTCCAAGTTCTGCGTGAAATCCCACCAGCAGGTGGCAGCACATGATAGTGTTTACCCAGAAGAAAATGCTGCTTTGTGACCCCCTGTTTTAACCCATTCCCAATAGAAACTTGTGTTTTGTGTTTCCTTTCAGGGAGCTGACATTTTTAAAGCAAAAATCAACATTGAAGTTCAGAGAGCAACTGAAGGAGCCATAGCTGCTATTGAACGGAACGGAGGCACCATCATAAACAGTTTCTATGATCCCATAAGTCTTGGTAACTGGAATGATTCCTATAGAACCATATAATCTCAGGTTTTTAGTGTGTGTTTCTTACCTTTTTTTGGGGGGTGGGGAAAAAGGTTTTCAGAGTCTGTTCTTATTTGCACAGGGATCCTCGCCAAACCCGTCTCATTCTTTTTGAGGGGAATCCCGATCCCGAAGCGAATGCTGCCAGGYGAGAGCATGGTCCCGTACTACACGAGTGCTGAAAACCGAGGTTACTTAGCAGATCCGGAAGAAATCCAAAAGGCCCGGCGTGCCCTGGCTCAGAAGTACGGCTATGTGTTGCCAGACATTTCAAAGGATGAGCTGCATCACATGTTGGCCACGAGAAAGGATGTCCGACAGATTTTCTTTGGCCTCTCCCCAGGCTGGCTTGTTAACATGTCGGAGAAGAAGATTTTGAAACCGACTGATGAGAAGCTGTTGAAATATTACAGTTCATAGGTGCTGGGAGAGAATTTCTGTTTGTGGGTGTACGTTTTGCGTGTTAAATTGTTATTTTATACGCTAAAACAGCACTGTTAAACCTTATCTTAAAAATAAATTCATTTATCACTCATTTTCCCCTCATTAGTGGCTCTGAGCAAGCGGGCTCMTACGGTCTCGTGTCCGAGCGCAAGCGGCCCGTGCTGCTAGATGGAAGGAACATGAACTGTAACAGGTGAGGGGGAAATGAGGAAAATAAGATAACTCAAAGAATGAAAACAGGAAACAGATGCCTGGCGATGTGTGTTACTTGTGACATGGTTTGCTTTCAGCCCTAGAAGGGGAGTTTGAAATTAGTCATCGGCAGCTGTATCCTGGTGTGGACATTCAAAAGATCCACACACACACACACACACACACACTCATACAGTACAGTCACAAGCCAACTCCATCGTATCACTTCACCCTGTTATGCTTTGTGTCATTTGTCACAGTCTTTTTTTTTTTCAACATGATCAAAAACATTGATAAATTACAGATTGATAATTAGTGTATGCGGTTTTTATAATGTTTGGGATTTTTAAAATAAAAGTTAATGATATTGTCTAAAATTGGCAGTGTTGCTGAATTTCTGCTGGTTTAAAAAACACTATCAAAGGAAACATGACCTCCAGCTTTGTGTTTCTGTTGCATCCCAATTCCATGCTTAATGGATCACTGTGTGACAAAAAATAACGGAGAAGTTCGGCACCAAAKTGAGTTCAAGTCAGACTTTTCTGTTTTTATACCGTAATAAAGCCAACATTATAAATTCCACTTTACATGTSAAAGGTTTCACTTTGATGACTTTGCTTTTGAGTGTTTTCCTGAATCTAAAGTGTCCAATAAGCTTCACAAGTCAAGGACACACACACTCAAACACACAGCCAGGAAAAACCAGCCCAAATCCTTACAGCATAATACTTTAAATAAATCACGCCACAGGAAAGAAACAGCACAATCATTGTTTATGGCAGAACTGCAGTGCTTATCTTCAAAGCAGCAGATCCTTTTGAATTTGTATCAGGTCTCAGACGAGCAGCAGAGAGAGGAGTGACCGAGGCACAAACATCAATCCTTTTTAATGCAGGGCTGCATTTTCAAGAAAAATAATAATTTGGAGAGTTTGCGCTCAAGAAAAAAATCAAATGAGTCGAAACCAGTTTGCACCTTTTAATGAAACCCTGAAACTTTGCTGCAGCGGGGCAGATTGTTGCCTCGAATGAAGCGTTTAGAACAAACATTGTTGTCTCCCAAGTCTCAAGGAAGTTCTGGTTAATAATTAGAACTCAGGTCCTTTTTCTTCTGTCTGCAAAGGACAGTGAGGCAGAGATCAAACTCCTGCTCTTTAGCTCACCTGATGACATCACAGGTGTTACCAACAACCTCACATACAAAGCTCAGTCGTGTGGACACACTTGAAAAGATCTCTTCGGTTCATCAGATCAGGGTCTTATCAGAGGGGAATACAGTTCCTAATTTACAAAGAATAGAGCTGCTTCAAACGCTTGAATGGAACTTTGAACTGATTACAGTAGAAAAAGAAGTGAGATTATTGATGCTTAGTTGAATACTAAGATTAAAACAAATCTCAAAATAAAGTGCAAACTGGTACCAAATAACAAACTATTATTTTAATGAACCATTGCAAAAACTAATAAGTATGTTTACTCTTTTTATTTTTCTGTTGTCTCAAACTGTGTTAAATTTCGTTTAATGAAATTTGTGTGATTATTATGTTTTGATAGCTTACCTTTTTGTTTTAAAGTCATATTTTATCTTATTTTGATGCTAATCCTTTTTTTTAATTTATCAAATCTTCCTAAGTTTGAAGAGAGTTCAAAATGTCAAAAATGACTGTTTTTGATAGTTTGAGTTGTTCGAAGCAAACAAACAAAAAAGATATTTAAACTGAATGAAATAATCAGAGTAAATGTAATAATTGAACATTTTATTAGGTGAAGTAGGAAGTTTGAACATGTTGGTGGAGCAGTCATTAGGAGGTTAAAAGTGATTGCAGATGATGACAGTGCTTGTTTTAGTCTAAAAGTGGAAAAATACAGTCACAAAGTCCTCCTCCTTGACCTGAATATTGTCCCACTCACCTAAAGGAGTAGTTCATACATTTTAAAGTTGAGTTAGGTTGAAAGTTTATCAACAATACCATACTGTCATGAATGGCCTCAGAGTTCAGTTCAGACTGGACGGATGAGCTAAAGGCTGATACCAAAGTGGAATGCTTTTGTCTTAAAACAACTGCAGTCTCCAAAGTGTCAAAGTTGTTCATGCAAACACGATTGTTATAAACCTTTACGTCACACAACCAGTTTTTTCAACAGAAATATTACAACATTCTGGTTTAAAGTGTCACAAACTGCTCTCGGAAGTGCTACGATTAGCTGCTGCTGCTGTTTGAACAATTAGAAAATGATGTGTAAAGAACTTTTTTTAATTAACAAACAAACAAATGTGTGCATGAACTGTCAGAATAGTTCATCTGTGTGGTCAGAATTAAATTATTTTGTCAAACTGATGTCATTAAAAAAAKCTATAACAGGTAAGATATTAACTGTTCATAACCTCTTAACAAAACTCAAATTAAAATGATCAGCTGGTTTAGGTTAGAGCAGGGGTCTGCAACCTGCAGCTCTGGGGCCACATGTGGCTCTTTGGTCCCTCTGCAGTGGCTCTTTGAAAATGTGACCAAGCATAACAGATTTTTTTGTTTTGTTTTTTTTTATACCCACAAATAAATTCAATTTGTATGCAAATATGTGATCCATACTACTAATACAAAAGGTAAAACATGTTAGCTCATGCTAGCCTGTTGCTTACTTAAATGTACCAATTTATTTCTATGATTTTTCTCTCAAATCCATTAGAATTACCTTTAAATAATTTGAAGACTGTATAATAAGAATTAGAAACAAAATATGCCTGAATAATTCAGTTGTACTAGTTTTTATGAAATTCCGTATAAACTATATTCAGTATTTATATTGTTTACACAAATACAGTCTTTTTATTTGTCCTGATGTTTATAATTATAAATAATATGTTAATAAAAACAACATTTTTTAGTTTTATAATGTCACCTCCACTGACCGTAAAGGTGTCTGAAAAGGCCTTGAAAAGGCCCGCGGACCACTAGTTGATAATCACAGTTGTAGCATGTTTTGTGGCTTCGGACACATTTTGGCWGTGAGACAAGCAGCAGAAATGGCTCTTTTGGTCGTAAAGATTGCAGACCCCTGGGTTAGAGTCTGAACAGAGTTTGAGTCCAGCCTGTTATCTCTGGTCAGAGGGTGGGGCTGGGGGGGGGGAAGCATCATTGTGTTCAGTTAATTGAGGCCACATTAAGCCTGTCGACACCGGGGGGGCATGTAATCCTCTCAGCAGGCCTGATGCAGGGCTGGGTGGGTTTACACAGGGAGTGTGGAGGCTCACACTCAGCTACCCGCTGTTGAATCTGCTCAAACGTGTGTCTGAGGAGCGGAGGTGGAGGCCGGCGGGCTGCATGGAGCTGTGTCTGAACCTGCTGGGTCCATACAATGCAGCACAAAGCAACAAAGCTGTAAAAGATCCCGGTCACTCGAGACAACAGTATTATATCCTCTTCACACCTTTATGAAACAATGCAGTTGTTTATGGAGCCTCTGTAAGGAAAGTCGGTGGGACGGTTCTTTTTTTTATCAGTTTTAGTTTGCACCTTTGTAGTTTTCCCACATTTGTTCCTGGATAAAAAAGTCTCAGAAGAATCCTATGTGGTCTCAGAATCCATAAGAAGAGATTGAAGGTTTTGTTTCCTTTTGTAGCATCCTCAAAGCAAATCCATAAGTGCAACAAATTGCTGCTGAGATCCTTCTTTAAATCCTGCTCTCTTCAGTCTTCTSCAGGTCCTGACTGCACACCTCTACCTGTGCCAGGCTGCTCATCTCTGATCCAAAGTGAGGAGGGAGATGAGCGTCTCATATATGAGCTCTGTCCAGTACAATGGCACATTGTGATCAGAAAGCCACAGAGAACAATCGCTATTCAGAAAACTACAGTGCCCATTGAGCCGGAGCACTCTGCTTGTTTGATTATGAGACAATGCACTGATACAACTCGCTGTCGCCTCACAGATTAGGATTCATTACAGAGCAGAGGACAGTTCACACCAAATTAAAAGGGATTAAAATAAAAGTTGAATAATTAAAAAAGGCTGTTCAGTGTTTAAATTCATTGTCTTTCTACCTTTTGTCATAAACACTCACATATAGTTTAATTTCACAGCCTGTATTCATGCAGAGGGTGAGGTCAAACTAATGTATTCACACTGAGGCCTTCGGACTAATTGATTAAATCCATCAGTGCTTCTTGCTGCAGCAGAGCGTGGTGTAGCATGGGGGATGTGGATTCAAGCTCAGATTCTGACAAGGGCTACAAAAACACATACAGTAAATCTGCTAACAAATAAAAAGTAAAAAAAAAAACCTTGATTCACGTTTCACTGCAAATGATAAAATATCAAATGGTGCTGTTTGAACAAGTTTAGTTTTCCAGCTAAATTGATAAGCAATTCTGAAATGTGGGTGTGCATTCAGTGTAAACAGAGCACTCTATTGAATCAAACAAAAAATAGTAAGTACAAATCTGAGCATAAATACACACCAACACAGACTCTTTGCAATAATTTTAAACATTTTGGCTGTTAGAAAGCTGGTAGTTGGTTTGCATACATCTGTTTATTTTAGGACAAAATGTGCAGAATTTGTTTCTTATTTCAGATTTTTTTTAGGTTATCATAACTTTGTGATGAGTACCTTAAAATAAGACCTTAAAAGTCTGTAATTTRACAACGATTTTAATGTCCTTTAATGTGCTAAACCTCATGACAGCTTTGCAGTTTGAACTGATAAAATTTAATGGGGGGGAAAGGCACAATAACCTTCCATGTATTTACACTGTAAAAAATGAAATGTTGGCTTTACTTAACCATGTTATGTGACCCGGTTCCATTTAACTGAGTTGAGTAAATTCAAAGCAATATAACAGGTTTTTTAACCAAAGAACATGAGCATGTTGCTTTGAATTTACTCAACTCAGTTAAGTGGAACCGGGTCACATAACATGGTTAAGTAAATCCAACATTTCATTTTTAGAGTGTAAGGCAGCTTTTTTCCCCCAAAACATTCAGACAATATCAGTGGGCTTACTTTAGGTCAGTCTTTTGAGTGTTTTGTGAATTCTGACCCATAMATTTCACTAAAACTATTAAGATTTTCACTTCTCTGCTTTGAGTTGACACAAGTGCTGCAGACTTTTTTTCTTGTCTGCACATAGAGAAATGCATGAAAAGTATACATCCTTCATTTTTACGTTTTTTTTAATTATTTTCAATGAAATCATCTGTGAAAAAAGGGAAAAAAGGAGTCAAAGACTTTCTTAGATCAAATATAAATCTCTGCCCCCCACCCACCCTGCACCCTGCGGTGAGTCTGAATTTCCTAGTTTAGACCTTCATTTTCTTCCCACCTTTCCTCCAAACCGAGATATTTTTTGACAAAGTTTTTTTTTCTATGGTGTTCTCATCTCATGCCTCATTCCRTTGTATAACAGACCTTTCAGGGTGGGTTTCATTTTGCGCGGTGTAAATATTTGTGCGTGTCAGTCGTGTAAGAAAACACGCCTTGATCATGTTTCTTTTTTTTTTTTTTTAGTTCGGTAAATTGCGCTTTGATAAAGACAGTGAACGGCTGATAAGAGGTGTAATTAGTAACCAACCCTACGTGCTGCAAACTTTGATGTGTTTTTATCCATCCGCGCCTTCAGATTTGATTGGTTTAAGTTTTCCTGCAGCAGGTAGACGTGTTAATGAGCTTAAAATGAGTGAATCAGGAGAAAATTGAAAGGTTTAAAATATAAATATAGCTGTTTGAAAGTTTGACATMTTCAGGTGAAAATCAGCTGAACTTTGACCAGTTCGCTTCACAACATTATTAGGCAACTTGTTTTTGTGACCTTTAAAATGAAAATAAAGGCCCAGTGAGTGCCTCATCACCCGCCGCTTTTTATTCCAGCGTTAATATTATAATCTCGTGGGATTTCACGAGATGTCTTGATCAACGACTCRCAGCTGCAGCGTCGTATTTAATATCTGTATTGACCGATACACAATTTTGTGTTGACTAAGTTGACTAKAGGCCATTATAAGTTGAACTGACTTCAAAAGTTAATTGGTTATTTATATACATCCAATAAGTATTTCCTCAATTAGTTCAGTAGATTATAAGATATTTTGCTAACAGACAGATTACTCCAAATATTAGGCTAAAACAATTTAAGCGATTTGGCTCTCATCAGACTATTTATTGAGGATCAGGCTCAGCTACCACGCCAAATCCGTAAAACTGAGTTCGAGCCATTTTTCTGTTTTACAAAGATCATTCAGCTGTGGCTGCTATCTTGAATCGGATTGGCTCCAAAGTTGATCACTTGTAAACGTATATCCAATGATTACTTGCTGAGAGTTTCAGTATAAACCAGCAAGTAGTCCATGAGATATTTTGCTAACAGCCAAGAGACGCAAACAGCTACAGATGCAGACACGGGTYAAACATGGTCGTCCGCCTGTTTTATCGGCTGCGACAAAAGTTTATATCCATGAGTTGATTAAAACGTTTTAAAGTTAAGGGGTAGTAATTTCTCGACCTGTGGGAACACCTGGTTTTCACACCTTTGACTCCACTCCTCCCATCTCCCGGAGCGGTCATATATCACTCTGCAGTGACGTGATGACAGCGGCCCGCGGATCATCCCCGCAGGTAACCATGCGCATCAGCCAGGACCCCGCGCGCCTCCAGCTTCCAGAAGGCGAGGATTTGTGCTCCGCGGACGGCGAGCCGATGAACGACGCGCGCTCCCCGAGCTCCGGGCCCTCCAGTCCGCTGTCCGTCAACTCGGACTCGAGCTGCGCCAGCCCCGAGGCCAAGTGTGGCCCGGCACCGCAGCGGGTCAGGAGGCCCCTGAACGCCTTCATCATCTGGACCAAAGAGGAGCGCAGGCGGCTGGCGCAGCTCAACCCGGAGTTGGAGAACACGGATTTGAGCAAAATACTCGGTAAAACTTTCATTTCAAAACAATATTAGTGAAGCTTAAGTGTCACTACATTTAAATATGGATTTTTTTTTTATTTGTGTATGTGTTTATTTATTTATTGCTCTCATGTTAGGGGATTTAATTTAAGCAGGGGTGATTCTGGATGGGCGGATCTGACATTTAGGGGTGATTGGCCCACAACTGGGCCAAGACCCAACAGAAGATATTCATTGATGCAATTTTCTAAATCTCACTGCTTATGAGGAGGCATGTATGTGGAGGTTGTGGCGGAGTGGTTGGGGGAGTGGTTAGGGGAGTTGTCCTGGAACCAGAAGGTRGCTGGTTCGATCCCCCGTCCAGCTGCCTCAGTCGTTGTGTCCTTGGGCAAGACACTTCACCCACCTTGCCTACTGATGGTGGTCAGATGCATGGCAGCCCCACCTCTGTCAGTGTGCCTCAGGGCAGCTGCTACAGTGTAAGTTTGCCATCATCAGTGTGTGAATGGGTGAATGTCTGTTAGTGTAAAGCACTTTGGGGTCCAGAGGGACTTGCAAAGCACTCTATAAGTTCAGTACCATTTATGTATATTCACATACAAAATAAAACCATTTTGACCAACAAAAACAATTAACAACTGCAGCCTATATTAGCTTAAAAAGAGAATGACAGAATACATGAAACCTGCCAATATCAATGAGACACATATTAATATTAACAAACAGCTGTGAAGTGAACCAATCCTATTTATATAATTAGAATGACTTTAGCCTTGCTGAAAACCATACCCATATACATATATGCACACAACCATACACATACATATATGCACATGTCTATCCGTCAGTGCCCGAATAGAAAAACCCAGGATGTAAACACCTGTTTGTATGCAGTTGTGAGCATGCATGGATCTCTCCAATGGAATGTTTCAAAGTGACTGTGGGGGGACCACAGACGCGACC